AATAGCATAGAATCACACACACACACACAACAGTGTATAAATAAAAGTAATAATGATAACTGGCGAGATACTTGATTTTCTAGATTGTTTTAAAACGTTTTTAATATGCATTAATTCAGTTATGAAGTATCAGGGGATAAATGAGAGTTTGATTCGGAGCGAATCAAGTTTGCATTAATTCGATTCGATATGCGGAAAAACACGATAAAAGCTCTGTGGCCCGACACGGCCGAGATCGTCGTAATTCCGATCGGAGAAAGGGCAAAGTTATGCCTCCTTTGCGGAACGGATCAATTAATCTGAGAAAAAGTACGGTCTTTCGAAGTTCGACTGCCATGATATTTTATAATGGTTGAAAGGAACTAGACCGATAATTTAAGTTTCTTCTCATCAGTGAGAGGCAGCTTCGATACCTTAACGCGATCATTGGATCATTTCATTAGCATCTTCGAAATGAACTTTCCCGGGAGAATGAAGAGTTTTTATTGGTAATTACCGAAAATCAATATTGTGATCTGTAGAATCATTATTAGAATTGTTTCACTATTTTTTCGAGTTGGAGCGTACAAATAAGAAATAACAAATAACGTGAATGTTATATTTGTTAGAATTTCCATGGGAATGTACATGGGGAAATAATGCAAAATTATTTTTTAGACGATTGTAGGAGATGGAATTGTTAAACAACCGTTCCATTGAATAATTAAGCAGTGACATTTTTAAATAAAGCCAGACGCTACTTTTGGAACCAATTTTCACTTCCACAGGTTTTTAACACATTTAAAAAAAAAGTATAAAACGAATCCTACACGAGCTAGTTATTTACGAAAATTTTCCAATTATGCAGTGGGAATATTAAAAAAAATTCAGTTATCACGTACGTCACCTCTATGAATATAAAAGTAATATAACCACAATTCTTGTAACAACAGCTCGTCTTAGCCAAGTTAATAAATTACGTCGTTTAATCAAACAATTTAACACTGAGATTTATGACATTGAAACGAAGAAATGTAAAATAATTGAATTTACCACACACATACATTTCACTTGATTGTATTGAAATAACGTAAAACTATCTTTGTACACTATTTTCACCAGAATTTCATTACGCAACACAATTTACGGTTACAATATTACATGCTCGAACACTGGAATGTAATTCAATTTGTAAAAAAGGAATTTTAAACGATTCCTTTACTTTTCACAATCACGTGATCACTGAAGCACGACCGAAGAATATTAATTTAACGGAGGAGATGATATTTGGAGGCGATACAACGTTCGCAATCAATCTAAATAAAACATCCGCGCGGAAAAAAGAACTTCCACGGCAATATCTTCCACGAAACTTTGTTTTCGAGCTATCAACCATTAAAACTTCCGAACCTGTCTCCGGTGCACGAACGAAAATGGTGTAGGCTAGTGGAGACACATAACGGATATAGATAGCGTAGGTGTTCGAGTTATGTCGGAAGCAAAACAAACGTTTACCAAAAATAGTGGATCACAGCTAATAGCAACAAAGTAGAAAATAAAATCGGGTTTTATGCGTTTTAACTCGGCGATTAATGGACTGCAGATGTTTGTGCATATCTCACTTTTTATTGTCGACTATCACGAAATTAGGCTGAGGAATAATCTAATTTATCGCATTCGCGGTTTCAGTTCTCTCAGAAGTATTACCAAAACGGTAGAGATTTTCTGAAATTCTTTGATGGAAAATTGAATGAGAATTTTGGAAAACTTTTTCCTATAGAAATTATTAATCTTTAGTTCGCGAAGCCTAATTTGTTAATTTATGAGACAAACAGTTAATAATCGCCACGTTATTTTTACGGTACAGTATCATTAATAATGTTAAATTTAATGCGTTTACAGTGAACAGAAAGCTGTAAAAATTATAAAACGATAAAATTTCGTGAAATGCAATGTTTATACTGCTTTTAATTTTTAACTTTGTGAAATATTAGTTTTGATTTTTAATTCTGTGAAATACTATTTTTACACCATTTTTAATTTTGTATATATACTATTACACGATATAGCGTATAGCACGATTTTGAATGCTATTTTTAA